ACTCCAAAAAATCTGGGAAGCATAAACCACAGTGAAAAACTACAATTATGTCCTAATACTAGGGGAACTGCCAAGTAAAGTTTAAAATTACAAACACGTAAAATCTTAATTGAAGGAAACCACTTACTATCCAGGTACCAGGTTTGAAAGTCCCCAGACTTCTACAAATCATAAATTCAAAGTTCAAAAGAAGCAATTCAGACTAGAGCCAATACAAGGCACAAAATTCCAGCACAATTCAGTTTATCATTCAACCATCTCTTGCTAGATATTTAAGAAATACTGTTTTGAGTGAGCATAGTGTTCTTCCATGTTAAGCTTTATATTTATAGCCTTAAAAAATACTTTTTCCTCTCTATTAAGTCTCATGCATCTCCCTCCCTCTGACATATCTACATACTAAGTAACAGCAGTAAACTGGCTTTACCTACTTCGGGTCCTTCCAGGGGGCAGCTATAGCGGGATACGATCAGATTTATAAAAGGAATCCATCAATGCTTCATGAAATAACTTCATAACCATAAGAAAAAAGAGATTTCAAAAACTATAAAAGAGCACAACTGCCTATTCCATTAGTAAGGTAGATAAAAATAAAATAGCATAAAAAGTTAATAAATACATATATTTACAAGCATTACTGTGTCAGCAGAGCTAGAGCTCCAGCCAGTTGCACACGGGTCCCATATTTACAGCTGCACCTTTAATGGAAGAATCTGACCATCAGAGAAGCAGGAGAATGGCTTAATGCAAGGACACAAGCATGGGAGCTTCACAGTTTTGACACTGTCTGTACTGCATCACTATGACTTTAGCTATGCTGTTTGGTCTCTTTGTCCTGGTTACTCCTACTTCAGAGTAGGAGAAATTTTGATCTGCTGTCATATATGCATATTCACTCACTCCTTAAAACACGTGGGCTTGGATTCCAACAGCTTCTCATAATATGAGCATCATCTGCCTGCATTTTTTTTACCTCACAAATGAGGAAGGCGTGGTATGGCTACAGAGAACAAGAGACGGACAGGCTAAAGGTCTATGGGTGAGTTACAACAGCCACGTCTGTGCATGTGATGAAATGTTAATCTACATAGTTCAAGACTAATCAGCAAAACAAGGTTGTTTAAGACTGAGGGGAAACAGTATGTTAATACAGATACAGAGATATTCCTCAAGGGAAATACACTCCAAAATGCTGCTGTAAAGTATTTATATGCAAGACTTGAAAAAATTCCCCATCATACTTGTATCTGTTGAAATAAATACAACCAAATAGCTAATGATCAGATTGCTTCACCTTTTATGATTAATAATTGTCTACTAAAATCAAAGGAAACATTCAGTTGAATAATTTGCTGTTGGTAGTTGTCAGCATTTAAGCCACACTGTCAAAGTATCTGACAATGCTTAGCACAGCTTGATACATATTTCAGTTTTTGGAAATAATATTAACAGAAGTTGGATTAACTGAAAACAGACAGTATTTGAAACACATAGGACTTCTGCTAACTCCTGAAACAAATTCCAGGAGAGAACTCAGAGACCATTACAGCCCTGTAAACTTGTCACACTTTCTTTTTTCAGGTTGCATCACAGATTGTACTATGCTATGATACTGTGCAGTTCTAGGACATGTTTACAACTGCAGAGTATTTCTACAAAAATGGAGTTAATTTCTAGTAATATCAAAGCACAGAGGTTCTTTTTTAAAGCTTTTCATGTGATAGTACTACTAAGAGTGAAGGATTCACATTTAGATCAAAAATACATACTCAGATATAAAATCGAAATAAACTTATATTTAAATACATCTCTAATATGCAGTTTTTTGGTAGTACCTTCAACCACATCAGCATGTATATCAGCTCACTCCACTCTTTAATTAGGAGAGCCTTGAAAGCACACTTATTAACAAGAGAGCAATCATCAGCCAAAGGAACCTACAGAGGACATAGAAAAGTAGACTTACTTCCTATCAATAGTGGGGATTTGTCCTGACTACCATTACTAGTGGCCTGGATGAGATGATACATCATTAAATTTCTTGAAGATAGGAGAAGATGTCATTTCTAGATAGGAAAACAAAATTATTTCAGTTGTAGTGACTAAAGGGTTAACCTCCTAGTAGTACGCAGACAACCGGAACAATTTTGTTCCACTGAGAGTACACTGTTGGCTTGTCATATGAGTAACTGATTCGGAGTTAAGTTTGCCTTGAAATTCACTTAGGTTTGAGTTTTAGCTTGTTCAGCAAATAATTGCAATATTTACCTTTCCCTTCCTGAATACATCATGTCCAGCAAATAAATTGTTTGAGAATATTTACTGTTTGACAATCAGCTACAAAAAGTCCCGTCCAGAATCTCTACTGAGTTTACAATGAAGACTTTTCCAGGTAAGAAAAGCAAAGGCTTTTGTCTAATTCCAAGTCCACTTCAGGTAGTAAAATTCGTGTGTAATGACCCAGGGCACAGCTCTGTATTGAAAGCTAATAAAATAGCAGCAAAATGCTTTGGCACAAGTTCAGTTTAAACTTGCGGAATTGTGTACAAATGCAAAATAGATACAATCTGCTACTGAGGTTTAAGTTTACTATGTTGAAAAGTTTTGACTCAGTCAGCTTGAACCCACAGTTCTTCTGCTGATTGTGAATCTACATTAAGAATAGCCATAAATTGTTGGTATGTTCAAGATGGAACGGTAAATGCTGTCTGCTTATTCTAGCATACGCAATATGAAGACTAACATCTGCCAGAAACAATATCCATTATCCCTGTTGAAAAGGGAAACCTAGAAAAAGATTTAATGCCCTTTTCATTAGAATATCAACCTTATGACCCATCTTTTCCTCCAAATGCTTGATATACAAAATAATATTTTTTTGAAGTATGTTTTAAGTGGAGGATGACTTTAATGTTTGAAAATTTATTACAATTTTCTCTATAAAAATAGCCTGTGAATTCATGTACATATAAACCACATTTCTGACTTCAACTGATTAGATTCTTCAAAGTCTTGCAGAACCAATTTGATATCTACAAGTAAAAGCCCACACTTCTCCTGTTTGAAAAGCATACATCCATTAAAGTAGATTGAAATACATTCCATGAGTCTGATCACAATCAGCACTGTTCTACTTGGCAATCAATACCCATTCTTCCAAGTTTTCTTTTTTCCTTCTCCTGTCTGGTGTATGCCAAAATTAAAGATCTATGGAAAGGAAAAGACACATTTAGCAACCTTCTTTTGTGCTACTAGGTACTAAGTGAGAAATTCCATCAACTAGGACCAATTCTTGAATATTTTACAATCTCTACAAAAACTACATCAGTAAGGACCACATAAAAGGCTGGAAGAAAACTACTGAAATTTGATGAGCTCTTTAATGGAACTGATAACATATTTTGTTTAACATTTGTTAACATTTGTTTCATGTATGCACTAAATATTAACTATTCATACATGCATTTGCTGGGCGTTCAAGTTATTTAAATTCCCTCTTCTGTGGGCCAAAGCTGCTAAAGTAACAGCCCCTTTGATATTAAGGTTGAGGTAAGCAGATTTGCTGCAAGAAAAGCACCAAACAGGCTGAGGTTTTCAAGACAAGCCGAGGAATTTGGACACATTTTCCCATTCATTTACTGGAGCACGTGTATCAAAATTATATAGACTACTACAACAAAAAGGTCTTGAGCACTTAGTATCTTCATGTCCCTCATTTTCTTGCTAAGATGCTAAGAGATGACCGCATAACATTTTGCAGGTGAGCAGCGAAAAAGAAAGCTTAGAATTGTTAGCCGTGGCCATATTTAAAAGCGAGTTTTGCTCCTGATGGCTATAGGTTGAAGGGGAGTGTGGGTGGGGTGGTGGTGGTGCCTCAGGATTTTGATTAGGAGGGAAGATGGGGAGGTTTTGGAAATGTTCTGAACTTTGACATAAATGCCAAGAAACCAACCTGGTGTTTCAGCTGGTCCCCCAGCACTCCACACTGTGTTGTGGAATAAAGATGGCCTGTGCACGCTTTAAGCTAAAACTTAACAACAGCATTATCATATATGATGCACCCGGTGAACTCTATACCTGATGTCATAACCTCTGCTAAAGAGAGTTTAAGCCTGCTGCAGCAATTTTACAGCACATTTCTGCAGCAGTTCCAACTCAGTAAAGTTTTTGTGGTTTCTCAGAAGAGAACACGTTATTTGGTTTGGGATACATACGCGCTAACACTAAACATGGGAGTTACCTATAAACCAAGAGAGGCCAAATTCCAATATGCCTACTCATTTCAGAAACAGCAGCAAACTCGATAAGACTTCTTGAGAAACAAGGCATTACTTGTCATTGTCTAATTTAAAAATCCAGTTTTCAGATTTTATTACTAGAAATGCTAAGTTGCTGCCACACCTGAAAACAATACCTATGAGCACACATTTCTTTGAGGAGCAACACTGTCAAAGACAGAATACAACTAAGTATTCACATTGGTCTTAATATAACATTGTCTAAATATCCCATTTGTTCAACTCACAGGCCTGTACAGTGTAATCTGAATTTTGAAACTGCACACAAAGAACAAGAGAACACCGTATTATCATTCACAAGAAATCACACATTATTCCACCATGCCTGAATACCCTGAATATCCATGTACTAACAGCATATCTTGTTACAAAGAAATCTAACTGGAAGATTCAAACAATCCAAACTTCACGTGACCCCAAAGTAGTATTTCGAGAGGACAGTAAACTTCAGATAAATGACTGAAATTTAATGCTTTTTCCAGTAAAGAGCTTAAAAGCTATAAGTTAAACAAAAAGAAAATTCCAACTGCTGTTTTGTTTTTATAATACAATATAAAAAATACAAATCAGGAATTGCTGTCAAAATTGATGGGATAAAAACTCAGATATCATTTGTACACTAACCCTTGACAAATAAAAGGCAACGCCAAATTCCTAAGTGTCAAATATATATATATAGGTCAAACAAAAATATATCCTTGCCTTTTTGTTCTTTAACATAGCTCTCCTTACAGTTGTGCATGAGCTGCAGAATCCACTGATGTTGAGCACCAATGCACTGCCAAGCAGGGTCCCCAGGCGCGTGAAGATCAGAAAGATATCTGTAAAACCCAGTCCAAAAATCACTTCTCTACTTGACACACTGAAGGCCTCATTAAAACAGACTAAAGATGTACTAAGAAATACTTTAAATAAAAATAATTTTAAAAACACCAGAATAGTTAAGATACACTCAAATACCCAAAGCAGAAAAGCTTTGCATTCTCCCATCCACATTTAGTGAAGCAAAATTACATGAAAAAAAACTTGTAGAAATAAACAGAAACATATATATTTAATATTATTTTAGTATACATTTTTAATTGTGCCTCTAGTAAAGTACTTGGGAAGCCAAGCTCTTTATCTGCCAAGGTTGCAGTTCAGTACTTCACGTTTCACTTGGAATGTGGTGACATCTCAAGCACATAAAATATGATATTTTTCTTACCACTCTATATATGTCCTGATTGTATCATTATGTAACATTAACAAGTAAGTACAGAAGGAATTAATTTTTGGCAGCTCATTAATTTTAGCACATGCATGCGCAAACAACTGTAAACCAAGCTCATGATTGATTCTTTTGTTTGTTGCATTGTTTTTATTTGTTTTTGTTTGGTTGTTTGTGTTATTTCGCATTAGGATGTGCATGCAGAGTCTGGAAAAAAAAAAGGCAGGGTGAGAGATAATAAAAATGATTGGGACTTCTAATACGTGGAAGCAAAACACCCTCTGTCTTTGGGGAGAGAGGAGTACTAGAAACCAGCTGTTGCGACTTCGAAGAGAACATAGAAATAATATAGTCTAACGTATGGCATTCAAGACTATCTGACAACAGTACATTCAAAAGAGTATTTTCAAAAGCAGTAGGTGCTCTACTATTTTACATGCTCCATTACATTCTGCATTAATGAGACTCAGGACAGATTCAAAAATTCATGATGCTCAAAGTGAAGTACACTGATTTGCTTCGTTTTCTTAAGCAGTGCACAAAGCCTATATTACTACAATAATACCTAATGTTAATTAGGACTGTGTTGCAAAACTCTGTCTTGAGAACTATTTGCACTACTTGAAAAAAAATAAACTGTCAAAGTAGGATTGGTTGGATGGATGAGAACATTATACAACCAGCCATTTTGACAGAGGGACGTTTATAAATTACGAACTCAAGTCCTTCCTCAGTGTTCAGGGGGACTTTAGTCTTTGCTTAGACACAAAACAAAAAAACCTACTACTGGTCTTGGAAAAAATACATCTGCTTGGCTGTTAAGTGATATGGTAAACTGTTTCTGAACACTATAAAATAATTACCAGTGTAAATACCATAATAAAATGAGAGGAAAATATGAATTGAAGCCTAATTATAAACATTTAATATCTTTAAGGGGAAAACCACAGTCGTTCAGGTCTTGCTCAGTCTTAGACATTGGAGACAAAAACCAAACATACCAGGAAAAAAAAAGAAAACCTCAAAACCAGCAGCTTTTATGCAAATAATTTTACAATTAGGATTTTGTTAACTTCCTCTTAACTGAAGTGCTCTGAAGAAAGCTTTCTTCACACCTTGCCTCCAGAAAATTTACACTAGTATAACCACATTAGCATATCTAGAGTAGTGAAACTAATTTAACTCCTTTGTACACTGGGATTCTGTTAATTCATTAGAATTATTCCATATTTGTCCACTCCCTGCTCTCCTCCTTTATACTGTTCTACGTGGAATACATTTGGTAAATTAATACAGTCTGCTTTAATGTAGGCTAGGATATTTTTAAAGATTCAATACTTCAAGGTAAGAATCTAGAGAAAAACTAAAAAAAACCCCTCAGAATCAAACACACATACAACTCTGATTCTTCCAAAGAATCCTTAGAAGAGATCATAAGACTTGGCTTAGATAAGGAAGGTGCTCTTTAAGGTTTTCAAGACTGTCATAGAAAGGAAAGAGTAGCGTCTTTTTCAGAGACACAAAATGCTTAGCTACTAACCAACAAACAAGCAATATTTATATAGCATGCAGAAGAATAAGCAGCACCCTACACAAATGCAAACTGGTCATTGTCCTCACAAATATAACATAAAGGGACCTAAGGTACCAATATTGTATTTTGCCCTGTGTAACTGTGCCTAATGAGCATACAAAACCTGAAGACCTCACACAGGTGTCAGATTTTAGGAATGCTTCATACACAGCACATTTGGACTACATCTTTTAAGATAACTGAATAAAGCACCGAGAATGTCAAGCCACACCAGGAGCCCTAGTAACATTCGAAACTCAAAAGCTTTCTAAGTAAAGCCATCAAATGTTCCAGAGCACTTTAACGGTTAGCTCCAAGGACTGCAAAGCAGGTTAAGGTCTACCAGTAGAAGAAGGTCCAACCAAATCATGCCCATATTCCTATAACAGACTTCAATATCAGCTTTATTAACAGCAGAAAATCGAGGAATTGCAATGAAAATTAGGGAACTGGTTCAAGTTAATGAAACATAAAGAAACTACATTATTCAAACTGAGTACTAAAAGAACCAAAACCAAATTTAAATTACAGTCTGGATTAAAACCTCCTTATTATCTCACTCAGAATTATTCCATTTCAACACCAAGTCAAGCTGAAGTGTAAGACAAGTTAATACGGAGTCTATTTTGAGATCTGCAACCTGTGAGCGATCGCTTCAGACATAGCTTGCAATATGATGGTTTAAAGTAAGCAAAACAATCTAAACATGCCTCAGAGATTTTTTTAAAAAATAAATTCAATCTCAATTTGTTAAATTGTTCTAATTCAAGACCTGTTTTTCAATCGTTCAATAAACAATCAAGTACCAATCCACTGCCATTATTTATATAACCATAAAATCTCAAAATACTCTATTTACAGCTTTAAAATTAGTATTTAAACCATAGTAAAAATAGTCACTACCCTATTTAGGAAACATCTAAATACACATATAACACCATATGTCTGATGAAGACACTAGTCAAATGATTACCTTATATAACGTTTCTGATCATGCAATGTTGATGGAGTTTCAAGCAGCTTATCCAACAGAAGTTCTCTTAAAGCTTCAATTCTGGTTTCAACTTCCGCATAATCTAGAGTAGGGAGAGGAAATAAATCCAATATGCGCTTTCAGCAGTGGTATGAACTGAAAATTACGTTATTTTTCTAGGACATCAGACACTTTTGGAGTTAATGTGGAAATTAACATAGCTCATTTTATAACAAGCAACATCTGAAAATTTCATATATGACAGTTCTACAAAAACAGAAAATTGGACTTTGAAGTCCTTCCAACAACATGTCAGTGAGAGATACCTGAAGTCACATTTTAATTATTGTAACCTTTATGTCCAGTAATACCAAGCTTTAATAAATAAATAAAAGTGACTGTGACTTCACATTTTATAGTATACACCTCACCCAGAAAACTTGCCACAAATCTTGCTTAGAGTAATTGGTTCCTATAAATTCACTATTTTTATGGAATAAAATCGGTCCAAAACTCACAGAAATCTTCAGACTACTATGTGCTTTTTAGTCTTTAGGTTAAAAAAAATGAAAAAAACAACCCAAGTAATAGAACCCATATCTTACATTTTTTGAACACTTGAACCTCTGTCTTTCCAAAGAGTGACTTGGCTTTTTCATAGTCATTAATAACCACATCATAATCACCCTTAAAAAAAAAAAAAACAAACACAAATGAACAACAAACATCTATATTTATCAAGAATAAGGTAACAGACTAATTTCAGCAAATAGAAAAGTATTTTTAAAGGATTATACCTTCTGGATATTTCTTTCAATATTCAGGGGAAGGTTGAAAAGAAATTTAAAACGCTGAAGAACATTAAGTGCGTTTCTCGTTGAATCAGCTTTGTCCTTGCGACCCAGCACTTCTTGGAACAAGGTATCTGCTGTGTTACTGGCTCCTATTTTAAAACGGATGAAAATAAGAAAGCAGAGTAAGTAATCAGTTCAAATGACATACAGATTTTCCTCATTTTAATGAGTCATGCAAGTTTTTTTAGAGCAATTGAGTAAGTATTGCTAAATTTTTATACGTTTTTGTTGAACTGTGTTAAGATTTTACAACTGATTAAATACTATTTCAAAGTGAATCACTTAGCATTTTAATGTGGCAAGACCCCTGTGCAATTAAAAACAATCACTCTTCCCTATTTCAAATGCTTAACTTCGCTGCAGATATTTTATAGTTTGTTGGCTCCAAGATCTATATTTTACAACTTAGTTATGCATCTCAGGATATGGAAAAAGTCATAGAAAGTTTTGTTTCTAGAAAAGTATAATTTCATTGTGTTAATTACTGTCATAGCTTTAAGAGTTATCACTGGGTTTTGCAAACACTTTTTTTGTGTTTTCAAAATAAGTCTTAAAAATTATTAACAATATTGATATTTAAGTGAGTCACTTAAAAGCACCAATGATTAAATCAAAGACAATAGTGTGACTGAAAAAAGAAGCTGGTCACTACAACAGGGTGAATACAAATTGTCTTCACATTGTATTAAAAGTCTTACTGGTTTCATCGCATACTCAATCAAGCCTTAGTCAGCAATTTCATGCAATTAAGTTTCTATACTATCTGTGAATATGCTTCAATAAATACATTAAATATAGCCTTATAACCTTTTCTATACAGACTAAAAAGCATTCTGTTTTGTAATAAGGATAATTTCCTAACACAGAATAACAGAATTTCATTTATAGTAGGGAAGATTTATGTCAGTTGCAAATATTTGCATTTTTCAACTCGTGATTTATTTTTAATTAACAAAATAAAAAGGAACTGTTTTAGCCTTTTTGATCATTGCATGTAGAAGTTTCTACATTATCTGGTCTAGTGACTATACTTTAAGCAAAGATGAAAAAAATTACATCAGTCTCGCTGGGTGGCTTGCATGCCATTTTCTCTAGTCAACACTGTGGGTGGCCTGCTCATGTTAAAAGTAGTCTTTGTAAAATAATTGTTATATCTAAGTAATGTTTAAACTTTGTTGAAATTTTGAAGCCTTGATGTAAAAAAAGTTTTGTCAGGATAGCTATTTCTGCTGCATACTATTTAGCATAGAATACTTTAATCCATTAAGGAGAAATACACAATGAAAACAGCTAGCTAGACATTTAAATACAGATCACTGGTAAAGTATGATTTTTCTCTTGAGGTCATAATAAATGCTTGTTCTGTAAATCCTTCTAGTAAGGAACATGTGTTTTGTTTGAATTCATATGTTTCTTGTCCATTTAACAGACAAGAAGTAATGTACTATATCTGGGAATTAAAGTCATATTCACAAAGCTTTTTTTTTTTTTAATTCAATGCAAATGTTTTTAAAAGGTAATTGACAACTGCAGGAATAGCACAGTGATTTCCAACTTTAGTTTAAAGTCACATGCCTTTGTCTCTCTATGCATTAATTTGCTGTAGAAATCCTCAATTTCAAACTTCAAAATAAAGCTCCAGTTATCCAACAGTTATCTTTTATAGCGCCTAAAAAAACCAACACATAATGGAATCTGATTGACCTCCTTTAAGATATAATTCTCTGTGAAACTCATCATAGCATACCACGTGTTTTTATAAATATGTATTTAACAGCTTGTTTAGCAATTAAATTTAGCAAAAACTCCAAACATTTGTAATCCCACCTATAACACCAGACTGTGCTTCTGCTGTCCTATCCCATTTCAGTCCAATAATTTGGCACACTCTTAACATACATTCAGATGCTGTGGGAAACATCCTTATTCCTAGGAATTTGTAATCAAGCTCAAAACACCAATTGTCTCCCAAAAGATGCACGCGCAGTCCATAAAATGTAAAATTCGACTAAAGATTTTAAGTCACCTTTGAAAGCAGGTCCTGTTACTCATTGATTATGGAAGCTTTTCAATGGTCAGACAAGAAACAAAGCTTTGATCCTAAACTACTTTGCATAATATTATTTACTCTTTTTAAATCCTTGTATTCCTACTTCCCTCCCTCCCACCCATCATGACTTGCAAAGTATCAGGAGGAAAAGCAGCCAATTCTTTTCACAGCAGAGCCAAACTTAATACCACTCTGAAGTGCCTGGCACAAGTTCCGCTACAGATCCAGCTTGAAAAAGACAGTCTGCATTATCTGCATACAGATTGCAGCCACCATCTGTCAAATTAAACAGCTATAAAAACTGTAGGTAGGTTTGTCTCGTATTAGTACATATAGGAAAATGTCCCAGACAAATTTTTGCTTTTTTATGTTAAAATCTATCACAAAATTTTGTCAAAGGGAAAGTGCTCTCTCAGGGATTTGTGCTTGGTACATGACAGAGTACAGAGCATCGAGGCTTGCATTGGCACATTTCAGCAAATGCTTTCTTCTCCTACTCTATCTGTGTCAAATATTCTGCACACAGAGTGTGAAGTTTTTCATGGCCTTTTTTTGACAGATTTTGGTTTTGGGGTTGGTTTTTCTTGCACTCCAGGCAACAAGATTGGGGAAAACAATGTTCAAACTACACTTTTATTGTGAGCATTAATGAATCTCTACTGAAAAGAGCTAGAGCTGTTCACAAAACCCCCTGCTTTCTTTGCGCTCCCCACACAAACACACACACAGTCACCGCTTTCTTCAAACAAGCGAAGAAAAACAGTGAACTTCCATGTCACTTTCTTGATTTCAGAAAACACACTCAGACTTTCCAACACTGAGTCAG